AGAGAGAGAGAGAGAGAGAGAGAACACAAGAGAGAAGAGAATATATACAGGCCCCCAATGACCCGCCTCCTCCAGCCACACCCTCTCTCTCTACACTTACCACCCAGTTAATCCTTATCCCTGTATTAACACCATGATTAGGTTAAGGGTCTTATAACCCAATCATTTCTCCTCTAAACCCCGATATACACAAGACCTTTTGGGGGGGACACTTCATAACTAAATCATAACACATCCCATCTCTGAGGTTATGTTATAGAAACAGAAAATCAACTGAGGCATTGAAAATATGTCATTTATCTTGCTGCCATTATTATAGTTGCAGTCATTCTACTTTTAGCATTTATTGAAATCTTGGAAATTTAAGACATTTTAAAATGGTAGGTATTTTTTCTTCATTCAGAAAAAAATGGGGTCCTAAATGTTGTAATTAAGTGATTTATAACAGTTAAATCTCCTTGAATTCTTGAATGATGCCCCTATGCTTAGCACCCTTCTATATTTTATATATGGCATAGAACTCTGGACACTAAGTGATATATTTTTGACCAAATGCTTGAGTAGATTCTCATCTATTTATAGTAATGAGGTCAACTCTGGTAGGGAGAAAGTAACTATGTGGTGAAAAAATGAAAACCATCTTGCCACCAGCCACAGTTTAGCGTCATGACCATGAGCAAAGTTTCAAAATTCTCTGTACTTGTTTTCTTCACATATAAACTGGGATTAGACTATTAACTTCCTATGTAACAATGTTGAAGACGTACTGATTCAGTAAATGTGAAGCACTTTGAAAGGAGTATGGCATATCATATTATAAGCATTATAATGTTGGAATTTAACCAAAGAAAGAGACCACAGGATGTGTTTCAAAGAGGGGGAATTCAATGCAGGAATTGATTATACTTACGAGGACAGAGCTGACAAGCAAACCCAGAAAAATGATGCAACATAACATTAGGAACAGCAAGATACTGCTCCTGTCACAGTGTTCCTCTTTAGGTTGGGGAAATTCTAACCCTATCTGAAGTCTAGTTTTGTATTAGAAAAAGACAAGATTTTTGTGTTTGTTAATTTAGATAATTTCACCTGTAATTTTTTTCTTTACGTAACTTTAAAGCTCCACACACACAACATGCTTTTCAAGTTTATATGTCTAAATAGTCAATGATTCAATGGGTTCCTCTCATTTCTATAAATTTAAATCCTTTTTTTTTCCATGCAGGGTGTGGAGGCTGAGGCAGGAGGATCATAAAAGTTCAAGGCCAGCCTGGTCAACTTTGTCTCAAATTAAAAAAAAAAAAATGAAAGGGGCTGGAGATGTAGCTCAGTGGTAGAGCACTCCTGGGTTTAATCCCAGTATCAAACCTCCCCCTAAATATCCATTTGTTGTAATGAGAATATACCTGTGCATTATAATTTCTTTGGGACTATTAATTAAAGTATTGTTTCTACAAAATTAATAATCACTGTTCCTACACGTATCTTATATTCTGTAGGGCATATCTCTTGTCTCCAAGCCACAGTGCTGTCTTTATTCACCTTGTCTATGTTGCTGTTATTCTTCCTACAAATTCTAGTAGTACAATTTTGCAACATAATGTTTTTTTTTGTTTGTTTTGTTTTTAAATATACAAATGAGTATAGGATGGATTCCCTATATATTGGGTTCCACAGTTATCGGGGCAGGACCCAAATGGCTATACTTAGGCTTCCTTGCCGATGCTTCTGGCAGTCTATATTATTTTAAAGTGTATACAAATAATAGGCTAGATAATGTAACTATATGAGATATAACACCACCTTAGCTACCTGCAAATATTTTCATGAGCATTTAGAAACAGAGGTTGAATATTAAGACCGCCAAGCCAAGATATTTCAGGGTACATCAAAAGGTTAGAATTTAAGGTTTCTTACTACTTGGTATTATTTGAAAAGAAATAATGAACAGTAAAATTTGAAGACTTTGTCTTTAAAATATGAATTTTTCTACCTCATCAGCCCCCATCTGTGAGAAATGAAAAACCTCATATCTATTTCAACATTCCCTTCTTACTATAAATCAGTTCAGCATATATCAGATTAATTTTGGCTCCAGATTCTAAAAATGTTATTTTACCTAATGATAATATTTTACCTAACAATATAGCTGTGCCTATTCTATGTTTGTTTCAAAGTAAGAAGAGAAAGGTTCCTTCCAGTATAACAGATCGTCATGGGTGTCCCAAAGCAAGATTGCCTGGGCACAAAGTCAGAGAGTTTAATGAGATGATTTATATACCATATGTCACATAGCAGCTCTTTGCATAGCATTTCTAAGGTGCCTGGGTCAAGAACTCTGCACTCAAGTTGTACACAGAGAACTGCAGACTACATGCTTTCATATTTTGTTACTGAATCCCTCATATTTGGTATGTTTGTGTCTTAATTTAATATTAAGTGTTCTCCCTGAGTTGTGGATTTCCTCATAACATATTCTACATTGTCCCTCTTACATGTTTTTTTTTGCAAATTAGATTTAGGCCAGTGCCCCAATCATGAAGAGTTATCTTTCTATGTCTAGGAGAATACATACAATTACATTCACAGAGATATTTGAAAATATAGGGAAGGGGAGGAAATAACAAAGTATAAAGTGATTAGGCCAGTGCAAATAACATGGGAGGTGCTACTTAAGTGCTTACTATAAAGTGGTTGCATGCATAAATGAATGAATGCATTACTGAACAAACAAATTGCTCTCTACTCTTGATCAGCAAATAATCATAACATTAACAATAATAATTTGTGTTTTCTCTTAAAAAAATTATTGTTCTCTAGGAAACCAATATAGTTTAATTTTGATAAATAATTAAATGCCAAGCACACTTTCTCTCACTCATAGTCTCAGTCTGAGTTTTTAACATTTGTAAGCCTTCTGGGATAGAATGTAATACTAGCCCACCAGTGATGCAATTTCAGCCTAGAAGCTGGTTATTTTCAAACAAATGCTACAACCTACAATCCAGAATTTGTCTGATTAGTTGACTAAATTACAAATGCTTTAGAGGGAAGAAATAATTTTATTTATTTATTTACTACAAGTATACACCTTAATTGCTTGTAAATAATAATAAATAAAATGTTTTCCTAATTATGTAGATAAAACAAGAAACGATTGCTCTTTTATTTTCAATGGCAAATCTAATGTTAATAGAATATTTGGATCTCGTGTTTGCCAATGAAAAAGTTCTTTATAGACCAAAAATAATTGTGTCCTGGATTTCTATTAATTCAGGTAATGGGAAAGTACACAAATTTTAAAGAAATCTGCATGAACAAGTTTCATAAAATATAATCATTTTCCAATGAATTTTGATGATTTCTTCTTAACTAGAATGTCTACAGGTACATGGTATGATTTGTAAATTTAAAAATAACCAGTATATAGCCCAAAATTTGGTGGCAAAAGTTCTGCTTCTATCTAAAGGTCATAATCTTCTCACGTGCATATCTAAATATTCAGAAGGTGGTTCCCAAGTTTTTATGCTAGATTTCAGTTCATTTTCTAAAAAAAAAAAAAAAAAAAAAGAGTTAAAGCTCATAAAAAAAGCCTTTGTAGACCTGCTTAATGTTTATGTCATCAGTTAAATTAAAAGTGACAGGACCAGTAAGTCTGGAGATTTTCACCACTAGTGTGATTGTCTTGAAGTATTTTGTCTCCTTAGAATCTCTTTGGCTCCATTTCCCAAGGAAGTTGACTCCATGTTAATCCTGTTGACTCTTTCGCACAGGTTTTAAATAGTCTGTGTCCAGCCTGAGGGAAGGGAATGCCTCTCTGAAGACTGCTAGCCCTTTTAGCCATCTAGCCATCATTCTTCTCCTAGGAAAGAATGCTAATTACAACAAGAGATTGCTCATATCTTAACACAGCGCAGAGTTGAAAGAGTCAATTACTTATTTAGGGATTGTGTATGAGGTTAAAGAGTATGCCCTCTCAAAGGTCTTTAAACTGAAAATTGCCACATTCAAAGAAGAAATGGCTTCAAATGGCAATGAAACGAGGTAACATATTTTCATCACCCGTAACACAATCCTACATTATAAGCAAACTAGGTTTTGGTTGACTTAAGGGATCTGGAATCTTTATCATAATACATTAAACACCAGAATTCAGTTGATTGACCTTGAAAATGATTTTTAATTTAATTTTAATCACTTTATAAGTCCTCTTTAACTGAGTTGCCAATGAAGTACATACTGGTGAAAATTTACACTTTGCACTGCCTTTGACTTGATGATGAAAATATCCATATTGGTCAACACTTTTCAACACTCATGTAAAGTTAAAGGGTGAGGTTTTAGTTAAATAATAAGCTAAATACTCCTAAGGAAGAATTCTGTAGGACACTTCAAATGAATAATTTTAAAATATATTAAATTTAAGAAAACATGAGATTTATTAATAACTTGGATCAGAATTTAAGGTGATAAACAACAGTAGACTACTTTTATTATGTTTTTTTAAAAAGTAGAGAGATAATTCTTGAAAAGCATTTAGCTCTCATTAAGAATATATAGTTTAAACTAGTACTTCTCCTATTCTTAGCGTTTCAACAAATTTAATTTTTATACTATTACTGTGATCAGAATTCAATTATATGGTTGTTCTAATTGTACTTCAGCATAAATATAAAACAATTATTAAGATAAAATTATTACTTTGTAAAACACTAATCTATGGTTAGAGTTCACTCATCATTGAAGTCTCTAGTTTCTAACACATTTCTACTTGAGATCATTATGTTTCTCATCTTTAATTGTTTTGATTTTTAACCTAATGAAATAAAACTGAAAAAAAATTCTCATGGGATATGTCCATAGAAGGCCTTTTTGTAAACAGCAATAATAGGAACTTAGAGTAAACTATTTGTAAGGAAAGGTAAAAGCTGATATTCCTTCCCAGGAGCTAGTTGTAAGTGAGGAAGCAATTTGAGATGCTGTTGGTACATTCCAGAACTCCCCTTGGTCTTAATTAGAACAATTGAAAGAAACTGTTAATTTTGATCAGTTGGTGAAAAGCCCTGCTGTTGCAGTCAGTCATTTCTATGGAGTTCAACTTTTCAAGTTCATAAGCAAAATGGTGAGATTAAAGGATTTTTCCTCCCAGTAAATCATTAGCACAAATGCATCATTTCAAAAATTAATACTCTAAGATTGAGCTGTATTTTAAGGTTATAGAGTTGCTAGTTTAAAATGTGACACACAATGTATGAGTAATTCATTTCACAGTGGGTTGTATATTTAGTTTCCATATTTAGAGCTGAATAGTATATTTTAATTTGTGGAAAATCCATCTTTTAGGAACATATACTGATATGCATACATCATATCTATATGGTAATAAAAAGTAGTTTGGGTAAAATGTAATGTGGGGAGGTTAGACAATATGTTAGATTATCCTACAGTGAAGGTGAAAAACAGTAGGAACAGGGTGGGTGAGGTGCTTGCAACAACTTTTTTGTTTGTAACATAAAGTCAATCCAAGAGACAGTGAGAGGAGCAAGCAAAATAAATCATTGTACACAGTTACCGACAACAAGAAATATCAAGAAAAGTTTTCTCATCAATGCCTCGTATAGCAGAGGGTGTGAACACACTTACTCAAGACATCTGGTATTAATGGTGGGTAAACTCCTTTGCTGGAATTGTTGATTTGTTTTTCCTTACTTTTTGGATATTGACTACTTTGCTTAGGTTGATCTGCAAGTCTGTACACACCATAGCACATACCAGGTGCTCTGCTGGGATTCAAAGAGATAACATAGAAACTTCTGGATATATTCATTTGCCCTTTCTCATGTTTTTATGTATGATTTATAATACATTAATTGTATTAACATAGTAGAATATGTATATCTATACATATTAAGTAGATGAACATGATAGTTCAATTTAAGAGACGTGGAGATTACTCATTCATATGACAAGTGGAATGATTATGTTGCAATAATCATCACTTCCCTTGAAGCCTAAAATTTTATGATTCTAGTCATATGGTTGTGTGACTATATATTTGAATTCAGAATATTTGAATAATTTTATACTGTACTACATGAAGGGATGGCTTTCCAAATTAGCTACTTAGTAACATCAATTAAATACAAATTTCTACTCATACACTTCCACTATTTTTACTGACAATTTGGTTGCCTATCTTGTTTCAACCTTGAACACTATGATCCTTGTTTTGTCACTATGGAGAAAGAATGATTGCTATAGGGTAACAAGCATAGCTTCATTTGCATGCATAGCTCAGAAACTGTGGAATATTAAGGCAGCTTTAAAAAAACCCATTAGTATCTCCTAATCTTCTGTAACTAGCATTTATGAAGGAAAGGACACCATATAAAGCAGCAGTTGCTGAAAGAATCCACTAAGTACAGAGATTGAGGGAATAAGAAACTAGACACCAGAAGTGTACAAAACTGAATAGCCCTAATTATCAGAGGAACTCACAGTGGGTGGTCTCATGGACTGTACCCTAGGAAGCCAGCCTTAAACCTTACCTCCATCAGTATACATAATTCAGTTTTCAATCAAGGTAACATTGAAATAAGTGTCTCTTTTTCCCAGATGGAGACTTAAAACACATAGACTTTTGAGTAGTAGATTAATAAAAACTTTTGCCATAGTCAATTCATAGCTTTTCTAGTTACATTTAAAAAATAGCTACTAGGGTACATGTGACCCTTCTTATTCTTTATGGATTTTAAATCATAATGACAAGTATGACCTACAGAGATGATTTTATAATGCTTGATCTGAAATCATATTCTCAGATTCTGAGATTTTTGTGTAACCCAGAAGTCTCTCCTTTGCAAAACCAAAGAGATTCCTAAGAAGATATTTTAAAAAGCACTATAAAAATAATTTTCTCAAATCCTTTATTCAAAATATTTTAGCATGGGTTGTATTTTGGAATTCTTTTTTTTTAATTTTAGAAAGGAAATACAGTGCTCATATTATACATTACGTAATAAATATACTTAGAAAATTCTGGAGTAGCATACCAACATCAATCAGGGTCCAGTGCTTTTGGAATCTTGTTCAAAAAAATCTTTGTCCATTCCAATCAATATCCAAAAGCATTTTCCTTAGGTTTTTCTCTAGCAGTTTTTTCAGTTCTTACATTAAGTCTTTAATTAACTTGTATGTGATAGGTGTCTATTGCCTTCTTCTGCATGTGGATATTCAATTTTCCCAATACCATTTGTGAGTTCTTAGCACCTCTGTCAAAAATAAGTGCATGTGGATGTATGTGGATGTGAGGGTTTATTTCTAAGCTCTCTCTTCTGTTCCACTAGTTTAGGTTATATGTTATTATGCCAATGCCACACATTTCTGGTTACTATAGCTTTGTATTATATTTTGAAGTCTGTTAGTGTAATGTCTCCTGATTTATTTATTTTTCCTCAAAATGGCTTTGGATACTCAGGGTATTCTGTGGTTCTATATAAAGTATAGAATTGTATTTTCTAGTTCTGCAAAGAATGCCATTAGTACTTTGACAGGTATGGCATTGAATATATAAGTCACTTTGTATTGTACAGACATCTTAGAAAATTGATTCTTCCACTCTATGAATTCAAAATGTCTTTCAGCTTTTAAAATAACTTATTAAATTTATTTTATCACTCTTTTCACATTTGCAGCTCTTTCATGTTTTTGCCTAAATTTTTATCTTGACATTTTTTTTGGTAGCTAATATGAATGATTGATTTCTAGTTCAGGTGGTTTGCTATTGGCATAAGGCAACACTGCTGATTTTTGTATGTTGATTTTGTATTCTACAACTTTGTTGAATTAATTTATTAGTTGTAAACTTTTTTGGTGGAGTTTTTAAGGTTATCTGTATATAAGATTATGTCATCTTCCAGCAGTGGTGATCTTTTTCAGTTTAGATGCCCTTTATTTTCTTTCTGTTGCCTGACTGCTATGGCTAGGATTTCCAGTACTCTGTAGTACAAAACTAGGCATCTTTGTTCTGTTCTAAATCTTAGAAAGTTTTCAACCTTTCCCCATTTGATGTAGTGTTAGCTGTTAGCTTATTATAAATGACCTTATTATGTTGAGGCAAATTCCTTGAATGCCTATTTTTTTAGTATTTTCATCCTGAAGGCATGCTAAATTTAATGTGTGCCTTTTCTATATCAAGGAGCTAACCATACTATTATTGTCCCTCATTCTGTTGATATGATACATCATGTTTATCAGTTTTTATATGTTGAACCATGTTTTTCTCCTTGGGATAAATCCTACTGTATCATGGTGACTGATCTTTTTACCATTGGGATTGGTTTGCTAATATTTAGTTGAGCACTTTATTATCACCTGTATTCATCAAGGATATTGAACTGTGTTTGTTGTTGTTGCTGTTGTCATTGCTTGCTTTATCTGATTTTGGCATCAGGCTAATGCTCGCCTCAAATGTCTGTTCTTAAAAAAAGGTAACAACATTATGATATTAACATTTTTTATGTTCTTAATAAATTACCTGGTTTCAGGTATTTTGTAAGAGTAGAGCAAAAGGTCTAAAACAATGATTGTAGTTGTCAGTGTTGTTTTGCATACTTGACATTTGCTATGAAAAATTTTAAAAAGAAAGATAATGGTAATTACATAAAGTGTGGGATATGGCAATTTGATTTGTTATGGTGGTCACTTTACAATGTATTCATGTATCTAAAATTCTGGTTATATACCTTAAATATGTACAATTTCTATTTGTCCTTTATACTTCAAAAATGCTGATAAAAATGAGAACTTTCACTAGATATTTCAATAGAGGAAGTTTAATGTAATATATTGCTTACATAGGTGTTAGAACTTTGAAAGGATAAAGAAAGAATCACTGAAGGTTTCAGATACAGTAACAGCCAGACAATTTTATAAGAATTTAGAGGGATGGATAAAAGCATACCTGGAACCAAGAGACTGATTCTGGAGGTGCTAAACAATGTGACAGCTGGAATGAACTGTTGAAGTGACTCTATTAGGAAAATAAATAGAAAAAAAAAGCAACTCTTCCCTCTTCCTTTAGTGCCACTTGTGGCACTAAAAACATAACCAGAGTCATGTAGTTTGTTTGTTTAGACAGGAGATTAAACCCAGGGGTGCTTTATCACTGAGCTATATCCCCAATCCTTATTTTCTTATTAAGTATTTTTATTTTGAGACAGAGTCTTGCTAAGTTATTGATAGTCTCACTAAATTGATGAGGCTGGCACTGAACTTATGATCCTCCTGCCTCAGCCTCCTGAGTTACTGGGATTGCAGGTAGGGGCTACTATATCCAGCTTTAAAGTCTTTTAGTGCAGATAAGTTTTTGTCCTTTGTCTTCAGAGCCAATTATGGAAGGACAGGTTGGAATTATGAGACAGTAGATTAACAACAGGTTAATATATCTATCACAAAAATAATTTACCCAAGTGGGAACAATAATAAACCACATGCATCTGTTCAGTTGAGGTTTTACAACCAAATGAATTTGCTGAAACTCTTTTTTTTTTAAGGAGCTTTTTGGATTTTGCTATGAATGAACCAGTGTGGACTTGAACTACTTCGTGCAAGTGGTGCTGTAGAGTAAAGCCCCCTTCTGCTCTCTTGCTGTCCTCCAAAGATTCTCACCAAGCACACATTTTATTCCCTACCATACCACAGAGTGATAAAGTGACTACTTTGAGATAAATAACTGCAATGTTCGGATCCTGTCTCCTCTTCCTTTCTCTTGAGTGCTAGCTGGACTGTCATTTTTTCATGTCATATATTTGGATCCGTATGGGCCCTTTTTATGTGGGACAACCTGTTCTAGCTCAGCTTTACCTATGACTGCAGTGGAGTAGTGCAAGCACAAATGGCAAAGAGATTGAATGCCACTTCCTCCTCCAGTTTGGTGCTTAGCAATGAAAAAAAGATAAATAATGTTGTGACTTCTTCCAATCCATAAGGAAACTTACTGTTAAATGTAGTAATGATATTACAGAATGTGTGGATGGAGAAGGCACTTTGCATATATTTTTTTTATTTCTTATAATGGCATCAGTCCACTGCATTTGAAAATTATTGAGTCTTAGAAGCTGGATGCACTGATGTTCTACAAAAGAAAAAATACTTAGACTATGAATATGGATGAAATCCATACTAGTGAGGAAATGCAATATAATTGGTCCTTACTCTGGATTTGCTTTCATAACTTGAAACATAAAAATATCTTTCTATTCTCTGTTATACTTGACTTATGGTACTGTTATTGTGTTGCTGAAGTTCTGAGATAATTTCCAATCTCAATAACTCATACTGAGAATGTGCAAATGGGATGAGAAAGACGAATTTAGGATGGGTCCTAGCCTGTAGGAAGGGTGAAGTTTTATGTAAGAAAACTGAAGGATTTGGGTAGCAGCATATATCTAAAAGTAAGCAAAGGTGATTAGTTACAAAGATGGGGAAAGTAATGTCTGGAAAAGGAGCTTAACTTTTCAACTATCAGTCCTTTGAACCTTGAAGAAAAAAAAATCTACTTATATCAACCTTGAACCTCAGACTAGACTTAATCATTCATTCCTTTTCTAAAATTCAACTTATAACTAACTCTAACCATGAGTTTAAAAGTTACATATAGATTTTTCTTGTTGAGGTAGTTATCTTGGGTTCACCAGGGAAAGGATGATTAAAATAATTGTGTAGCTTTTCACTTCTACATTCCTCTTCTAATGCTCAGGTGAAGAAGTAATATCATTTTTAAACTTAATCTTGGGCTTCTAGTTGTTGACAATGAGTATTAGGACATAATGAAACTGACAGTAATGGGTGGGATAAAAGCAAGGAATAGTGAGACAGTGGAGGAAAAAAAATAAGTTTTCTTTTGCTAGAAGATGTTAGCCTAAGAACCAGATGGGGTGGATGCTGAAGTTTCAAAATCAATGCAATAAAAAATATAATGTGAAACCAGAGGCTGCCAATTATAAACACACATCTGCTCTTCCAAAATTCCTGGACCTTCCCATGTATTTTTAAGGAATGCAAATATAATGTTCTGAGAGGATTTTGCCCAGGTTATAAATGACCCAAGGAGCCTGGAGCTAACTGTACTTTTTACAGAGACATCCTCCAATTCAAATAAACTCAGATGCAACCATATGATGGAAGCAAAAGGTAATGAAAGAAAAATTAGACAAGAGAAATACAAAGAGATCAAATGATCAGAGGAGGGAAGAAAGAAAAAGCTTCCACAGAAGCCATGTTGAAATTGAACCACGTTTTCTGAATATATCCTTCCTCTTAAGTTGAAGATGTTTATCTTTAAGGAATTGTTGACTCTTCATACATGTCTTCATTATCATTCTTTTTGCAACCCACTTTTAAGTCCCAAAACAATTGTTAGAGAAAGACAGAGTTCTAGTATTCATAATTAAAGAGTATTAAGGATAATGTTTATTTTCATGCTTAAAATACAGTCATCACATTTTTTGAGGTTTAATGCAATTTTTTGGATTCTTTAAAAGCCCTTTATTCTAATTAGAATTTAAAACATTTAGAATGCCATTGAACAGATAATATTTTCTCTCTGGATTATTAACTTGTGGCTAATTCCATTTTTAGATAGGTAGCATTGTCAGTGTCCTTGATTCTTTAGAAAGACAGATAAAGGACAAACGACTACAGACCTTGACTCCAGAGAACTGA